AATGAAAACAGCATGACAGTTTCACTTGAGTGACAAACATTAGAAGAAACTAGGAGCCGGAACACAGTGCCATACGAGCATTTGGTGTCCCCTAACACAAACAAACAACCCTGCTGCAAAACACCCTGGGACATAGACCCCTTAGAAAACACACATTTTAAATAATATAGGTCTCCTAAAACGATGCGGTAAATTTTATGTGCATTTTTCCAAAGGGCAAGTTCTGCCAGATGAATCTCCTAAAATACTGCAAAGCACCGTCCCTCCATGTGAGTTATATGAGCTATCCATCACTGTGACTTGAAGATGGTCTACTCCTTCTACAAACTTTCTGCTGGCACTGAACCTGCAGGGAGGGTAGACATTCTCGCCATGGTGCTTAGAGGCAGGGCCTTGGGAGGTGACCAGAGTTAGAGAAAGAAATAACTGTGGCTTTACAAGAGAGAGAACAGAATAGCATTCAGTACCAGGAATATGTCCAGGTGTGTTCGTGTAAACATGCATTAACATAGGAAGACACCATATGATGTCCTATGCCACCCCAGGACTCCACTAGCAAGGCCATAACCAGGTATCACCCACTCAGCCTGTGCTATTAGGTCATTGGCAACAGAAAACAGACAAGACATTGTTTCCCTCTCACCATGCAATTACCATACAACCTCAAAATTATATTAGTGGACATTTATCCCGGGAGGCAAAAGCCATAACTGTATTCACATAAAGTATGTACATGAATGCTCATAGCACTCTTTCCCATAATAGCTCCAAATTGAAAATAATTCATATGTTCTCAAAGGGTTGACTGGCCAAGCTCTGCTGCCTCCACATTATAGAATACTATGCAACAATAACAAAGTTAATGAACAAAGCTTGGTGAACCTTAATGAAACTGTAATTAGTAAAAAGCCAATTCTAAAAGTATACAAATAATGTGATTCCATTTAAGTTAACATTCTGAGATGACCGAACTATGTAAACGGAGAACATATGAGGATGAAGGGAAGAGATGGAAAAATAGTAGATGTGGCTACAAAAGGGCAGAATTAGGGGTCCTGGGTGATAAACTTGCTTGCCTTGACTATGACTTGTCAATCTGTGTATGTGATGAAATTTGTGACGAATTAAGCACACAAAGCACATACACACAAATGAGTCTTTAGAACAACAGACAAAGCCTGGAGAAGATGAATGGAGCAGATCAATATCAATAATGAATATCAATAATAGACCACTGTAAAAATTTTTTAAGTTGCTACCATTGAGCTAGGGATACATTAGTGGGTACAATGCTTGCCTAGCATTCATGAAGACCTAGGTTCAAACCCCAGCATAAACCAGGCATCATCATGCATGCCTATAACCCCAATAGGCAGGTAGGAGTGCGGTTCAAGGTTATCATCAGCTGCGAAGTAAATTTAAAGCCCACCTGGAACATGATTCCTTCTCAAAACAAACAAATAAACTACCACCACCAACAACAACAGCAACAACAAAACCCACTGAAGGAACATTGACCTGGAGAAGCAGAGCAGAGGATCTTTCTGAGTCATTTCTTACAAGTACCTGAGAATCTACTGCTACTCTCATAATAAATAGTTTAATGAAAAGTATATAAAATTATTCATATGCAGTAATATGGAGTTTATAATAAACTATTAATAAAATTGTGTCATAAATAATAGAACAAAGACATAGATTCAAATGTAGATAAAGAAATAGAAAATACTAATTACTCTAGAGGGGTAGATGGAGAACGACAAGTTTTTGTCTACATTCTCCTATATTTTGAAGAGATCTATGACCAATATATCTTACTTTGTGATTAAAGCTTATTTTTAAAAAGAGAGATTCAATAAGCAATGATGAGGGCTGATGCATTTTGCTCATCTGGAGTGATGAATACTGTACCACACAAGCTGGGACCAAAAAAAGGCAGGGGAAAAAAAGGAGTATGTTCAGGGAAGTTGGGGTAAAATAATAAAGACTGAAACTCAGAGGGAAGCTATGTAATGATCTGTTCTGTCTCTTTAAGAGACAAGCCACTCCCACTCCCTCCCCCATCTGCTGAGACAGGCTGATCTTCAGCTTCCAGTCTGAGTTCTCTCTCCTTTCCATCTCCCTCTCAGAGAGGCAGCTTTGGTCTCTCTCTCTCTCTCTCTGTCTCTCTCTCTCTCTCTGCCTCTCTCCTCTCTCTTCTCCCCCCCCTCTGCTCTTCTCCCCTTCTCCCTTACCTTCCATAACCCACTTAATAAATATCCAACCTCACTCTGACTGGCGTGCCTATCCATGTCTCTGTCTCTTGCCCTCCTCTGCATGTCTTTCTGCCCAGAACCAGCCATCGCTCAGGGACCTGCAGCCATCCTTGTCTGGGACTGACTGCTCTCAGGGCCTGCTGCCTGCCACCACATGGCCTGCTGCCTGCCACCACTTGGGGACCTGCAGTGTTTCCACTGTCTGCTGCCACTGGGGATCCTGCAGCATTTTTAATAAACCATTACAAGCTAACCGTGGTGAACAGAATAAAATATGGTTTTTATATCCTATCTAGAATTGGGATGGAACAGGGATGGCAAGTGTCAGGGCCTTCTGCTTGGCTCTTCTTACCACAACAGTTTTTAGGGAAGCAATGTGGGGACCCCGCCAGTCTCTTCATGCCATACCTTGGAAAGTTAATCCAATGAGTTTCAGGTCTCATGGAACCCCTGCCCTGTTAGATGAAGCCAATCAAGACTCTAATATCATCTGAATGTCACCACCGTTACTCTTAAGGTAAACCCCAAACAGCATTTCTGGTTGTTCCCCTATCCCCAGCCTCTAGTCACCCTGAGAAATGGTCACTGATCCATCCAACCTTGGGACATTACAGGTGCTCTCCTTACAGTTCTGAGTCTGTGAACTGGATAGGTCTGGAAACTGGATAAAGGGCCACATTTTTCCCTCTAGGGAATTTAATTGGAACTGAAGTTTCTCTCCCTGTGTGCATGAAACACTTTAATAAGCTGTTAGCTCAGTTCATCTCTAGGAACATGGTAATCAGTGAGCTGTTGCCACAAATCCTTGCATCCACTTCTTTGCATGACAAGTAAGTCTGTATATTGTATTTTCCATGTCTCCGGTGGTCCTATTGAAATCAACAAAGCCAATTCTTTGGCAGTAAGACCACTATCTCCTCTGGTGACAGGAGAGTCACCTCAGAGCAACTCTGGGATCTGGTACTCCTCTTACCAATCCATTTTCTCTGCCTTGGTGAAGACCTCTTTAGGTCCCACTGACCAGAAGGTTGTGGCAACTCAACAGGCTATGAACAGCTCCCTTGCAGCTTCACTGTCCTGAGAATGACTCTTACAGTGTCACTGTCCTGAGAATGACTTTTACAGCTTCACTGTCCTGAGAATGACTCTCTTGCAGCTTCACTGTCCTGAGAATGACTGCGGTACAGCTTGACAGTTCTGAGAATGACTCTCTTGCAGCTTCACTATTCTGAGAATGACTGTGTTATAGCTTCACTGTTCTGAGAATGACTCTTACAGCTTCACTGTCCTGAGAATGACTCTTACAGATTCATTGTCCTGAGAATGACTCTCTTGCAGCTTCACTTTCTGTTCGTGCTCCTTCTACTCCTTCAGCGTTACTGTGGTTTACAGACAAGCAGTACTTTGGTATCACTAGGCCATCGGGTGCTGCTCAAGAATTGCTAAATGGGAACCTGCTCCTTAACCAGATCCCTGGGGCATGATGAAACCTGTGAACATTTGCTTCATTCATAGCTGTAGTTCCTAAACTCCGCTGCACATACACATTGTTATGTTTAAATGTAAAAACAGTAACAACTGCAGATTGTTGGAAAACTGTCAAGGTTACCATGGATTCTGGACTCCACACTGATGTAGGCTTCCTCTCTGTAGGCTGTGAATGTGCTTTATTACCATTAGTTAATAAGGAAGCTTTGGCCTATGGTGGGGCAGAATAAAGCTAGGCAGGAAAACTAAACTGAATGCAGGGAGAAAGAAGGCTGAGTCAGGCAGCCACCATGTAGCTGCCAAAGGAGAAAGATGCCAGAACCTTACAAGTAGGGCAAGCCTCGTGGTAATACATTAATTAATAGAAATGGGTTAATTTGAGATATAAGAGCTGGGTAGAAATACACTTGAGCCATCGGTCAAACAGTGTTGTAATTAATATAGTTTCTGTACGATTATTTGGGTCTGGGCAGCCAGGAAACAAAATGAGCAGGCACAGTCTCCACCACACAATATCTATTTAAAAAGAAACTAGGTGACCCCATGACCTTTGACAGAGCAATCAAGTGTCACAGCCTTTGCTCCCCCAATGTCTTATCCCTGTTTACTCTGCACCCCGCACAGTGACAATCAATAGAGTTCTTTAAAGTGAGAAACCACTGAGTTCAGATCTATGTCATTTTCCCATGTTTCAAACATCCCTGTTTTCCACAAGGTTATGCTTGAGCTTGGCAAACACAATCAACCAGCCCCAGATTCCATTTTGAGGATATGTTTCCTGATGCAACTTCCAATGTCAGTTACCTGACTAGGATATAGCAAGAAACAAGCAGCACTATGCTCGAACTGGAGTAATTAAAGAGTGAACTATTTACAGTGGGGTGGAGGGAGAAAGGGGAAGAGGAAGAAGAAAGAAAGGGAAAGAGAGAAAGCAAGAACTAGGCGCTAATAGTACTTAAGAATTACTAATCCAAACTGGGCAGTGGTGACACTCGGGAGGAAGAGGCAGGTGAATCTCTGTGAGTTTGAGGCCAGCCTGGTCTACAAGAGCTAGTTCCAGGACAGGCTCCAAAGCAACAGAGAAACTCTGTCTTGAAAAACCAAAAATAAATAAATAAATAATAGAATTACTAACAGACGTCAAGTGGACGGTGTGCAGAGAAGTTCCCACAAAGGGAAGCAGTGACTTTAGCTCAGGGACTCAGACAGTTTGTGGCAAGCTCAAAGAGGGCAAGCTAAACAGATAAATATCTTGACCTCACTGTCCATATGTTCCAGAGATCCTCAGTGAACAAACTCAGACAGAAGCCAGTGAATACAGTAACCAAGTTAGCCTCTTGGGTAAAGAATGGACCTGGAAGAGAAAACAAACAAAAAATACAAAACTCTTTAGCACGGTAAGAAAAGCCATGGGCCTAGCTCTGAACAAACTAAGTACAGTGTGATCCTGTAAAGCAGGTCTTTAAGTGACTCAGAGGATTAGAGACTGGGCTGTTGTGTGTACTTAGGGGCTCTCAGCATAGGAATGAGGACTTGAGAAGAGAAAATGGTGTGAGAACAGGCTAAGTCTGAGGGCTTCTAAAATTTAAAGGCCAGACCTGGAATGTGGGAGTGCACATCTGGGAGTGCACATCTGTAATCCCAGCATTTGGGAGGCAGAAGCAGGAGAAGCAGGAGTTCTTAGCTGCATAGTGAGTTTGAGGCAATCTTGGTCTAAAAATAAGTAAATAAATAAATGTATGTCAACTAGGAAAAGCTAACAACAGAGAAAAACAGGAAGGCGAGAGAAACCCCAGAGGGGGTGATAGTTTTAAGGTTGGGGAGAGGACTTAGTTTAAAAAGTACTTGCAGGAGGAGCCGAGTTTGATCTCTATGCGGTTGGCATTGTAAGCCCAGAGCTGGGAGGTACAGACCGACTGACTATCTGGGGCTCAGCGGCCTGCCAGACTAGCATACTCTAACTAAGGAACCAGTTCCCAGTGAGATATCCTGTCTCAACAAGAAGATGTTTTGAGAGATGCCTCAGTGGTTAAGAGCACTGGATGCTCTTTTAGAAGACCCGGCCTGTCTATTCCAGCACCTAGATAACCACCTACAACTTGTCTTTAACTCCAGAGCCCTCATTTGGCTCTGCAAGGCACCAAGCACATACACATTGTTCATAGACATATATGCAATCAAAACATTCAAACATTCATACACAAAAAAAATAAATCTAAATAAATAAATCTAAAATTTTTAAAAGTATGGAGAGCTACTAAGAAATGATATCCAAGTTTAACCTTTAACACTCACACAAACCTGCTGTACATACACACACACACACACACACACACACACACACACACACACAAAGCAGCTTCCCCCCATTATCACCACCCACCCACCCAAAAGAGATAGTTAACATTGCTGGAGTCTGCTAAGGAATCCTAAAATAGACCAAGGACTGCCTTCCATGAGATTCAGGATCCTGGAGGTCACTTGGTACTTAGAGAAAGACACTGTTAATCAAAGAGTAAGGGACAAGGTCAACTGGAGGAGCGGTTAACTAAGGGCAAACTGTGGCACTTTAGAGTGAAGAGGAGGAGAGAGAAAGCTCAAAATCAAAGTTGGCCTCCAGGAGTGGGATTGTGCTTGTTTTCCAGAACCCAAGTGTTAGCGCACACTTGCAGCCTGATGGAAAGAACTCACTGAAGATGGACAGGTGAAAGAGGGGAAAGGATAATTAATAATATACTGCTGGGATAATCTTTTTGTATACTGTGTGAAGATGTGTCTCTGTTTATCCTCATCTCCCTAAGGCACATTCTGATTGGCTTAACAAAGAGTTGAACAACCAATAGTTAGGTAGGAGAGGATCTACAGAACTTCTGGGGAGAGCTAGGAACTCTGGGAAAGAACCTGAGGCATGAGATTTGCAAATCAGAAAAGGAGGAAGTCAGATAGACAGTACTGAGGAGAGCTAACAAGACATGTGACAGACGTAAATTAACATAAACAGATTAATTTAAGTTTTAAGAGACAGTTTTGAATAATCCTAAGCTAAGGCCAAAGTTTCATAATTAATAAAAAAGTCTTCATGTCATTATTTTGGAGCTAGCAGCCCAAAGAAAGACCAATTACTGTCTTAGTCTTTGCTCTATTGCTGTGACGAGACACAATAGCCAAGATAACTCTTACAAAAGAGATTTAATTGAAAATAAATTAAACTTAATTTAAAGGAATTTAATTGGGGGCCTGCTTACAGTTTCAGGGGTCCATTATCATCATGGCAGGGAGTATAGCACAGGAAGCATGATGGCAGGCACCAGTGGTGCTGGAGAAGTAGCTGAGAGGTACATTCTGATCTACAGACAGAAAGAAAGAGAGAAAAAAAAAAGACTGGCATGGGCATTTAAAACTTCAAAGCCTACTGGGCCGTAGTGGCACATGTCTTTAATCCCAGCACTCAGGAGGCAGAGGCAGGCAGATCTCTGTGAGTCTGAGACCAGCCTGGTCTACAAAGTGAGTTCTAGGACAGACACCAAAGCTACAGAGAAACCCTGTCTCAGGGGGAAAAAAACTTCAAAGCCCACTGCTGGAGACACACTTCTTCTTTTAAGGCCACACCCCCTGATCCTTCTCAACTTGTGCCACTCCCTGGTGACTAAGCATTTATATCTATGATCTGTGGGGGCCATTCTTATTCAAACCACCACAGGATCCATGGCTCAGGAAAGAGACTGGTCCTACAAAGGAAGAGAATCTTTTCTCTTTTTTATCAGAAAGTAAAATCAAAGGATGGGTACACATGTAGAGTGGCTCATGGTTCAGGTAACAGGAATGAAAGTAATGACTGCCCAGGGGCTTCTATTTTTCTCTTTGTGGGGAAAAGGCATTTGCAAAGAAAACAATGAGATCTGAGTCCAAAATTCAGAGAAGCACCAAACATTTGAAATGGACTTTGAGGGTCCAAAGAATGAGAGATAAGGGAAGAACAATGGGATTCCCTAGAGTAGATGTTGTTTAAGAGGCAGCATTTGTAAATAGATGATTTTGCCCCTACTGCCTGGTCCCAAATAATTACACAAAGGCTTAATACAAGTTATAAATACTTGGCCAATAGCACAGGCTTATTACTAACTAGCCCTTACATTTTAAGTTAACCCATATTCTTTATTTTCACTCTGCCACGTGGCAGTACCTTTATTAGCATGACACATTCATCTCTTGCTCCCTCTATGTCTGGCTGGCAGCTCCTGACTCTGCCCTTTTCCTTCCCATCATCCTTAATTTGGTTGCCCTGCTGATACTTCCTGCCTGGTCGTTGGCCAATAGCATTTTATTAAACTAATTCAAGTGTCAAATTTTTACACTGTACAAGAGGATTATTCCACAGCAAGGAGTGGTGACATGTAGGGGAACTTCCAGCCTGGGGAGTTTCTCCAGGCATACTTTGCTGTCTAGGAGGAGACTTAAAATATATGGTTGAGTTCTGAGATATGGTGGATATAATAAAAGAACAAAATGGAGCAGGGAGTTTAGGGTACTGGCAAGATAGCATTTGACACAATGAACCATAGATCATAGTATGGTTTCAAAAAAACAAAAACAGTGTGTATTAATGGACAAAGGAGAACATTGTATAAGGGTCACTAGGGGCCTCAGTATGGTCAGGTAAGCAAGCAAGGAATGGCGGTCAGAGTTAGCAATTTGAGAGATGATTATGTCCAGTACAGAACCAAGAGCTAGGAGCTGGAGGTGTTGAAGAATTAAAAACTGACAGAACAGTGACCAGGTCAATTTTAGGTACAAGGACTTCTCCCAGTGGGGAGTGAGGAAATGCTGAAAGCCAAGAGGAGAAGACCTCTGGCAAGGAGAGGGAGTATCCAGGCTAGTGAATATGGACAACAACACTTGGGATACAGAGGGGAGGCCATATGACAGCAATGTTCTGGGGCTGTACCAGGACCCAAGAAACAGCATCTCTGCTTCCTGATCTTGGTGTGCAGCACCAGGGCTGCAAGAAAAGCAATGCCCCCTGGGTAAGGACAGCTCCAATTCAGGCAAAGAAACAAAGGCAGTGGAAGAGAAGATCACAAAGGGTGAGATATCCAGGCCCCAACCTGCACAGAGACAGCAAAATGGTTAAAATGTGTGGGTCATGGGTTGTGAAAGAAACACCATTAGAAAAGCTCCTGACTCACAGTCTATGTCCAAAGGCATGGTTCCTGCTCTGCAAAGGTAGGTAGCCTACATGCCCTTCAGTGACTCTGCACAGTCTGGCCCCAGAGAACAATGCCTAGCCAGCAGTATTTTCTCCATGCACAGGACTGACTGACCTTGGGTCTCTGCAAACTAATGTTTGCTAAACCTGGCATGATATTTACCTTTGTCTTTTTATTTCTTATTTTGGCAAACAATCACTGCCACCATCAACAACACCATCCCAACCTCCATCTCCACCTCCTTCTCCACCTCCATCTTTACCTCCAGCCCACCTCCATCTCCATCTCCAGCCCACCTCCATCTCTACCTCCACCTCCATCTCTACCTCCACCTCCATCTCCACCTCCACCTCCATCTTCACCTCCAGCCCCACCTCCATCTCTACCTCCAGCCCCACCTCTCCATCCCCATCTCCACCCTCCCACCACTACCACCACCAACACCAAACCTTGCTTACAGCAAGTATTACAGGGGTGGGGGTGTCCTGTCTGTCTCATGGGTCATTTGACCTTGAACTTAATATTACAGTCACCCAGTATTCTCTGTGATATTCTTTCTCCTTTTCATTTTTCTGGGGATATCTATTCCATTGTTCACCCATGCTAAGCCATGGGGCAATGAAATGGACTTGACACCTGGAGCATCTCCAAAGTTACCAGGTTATGTGCAGGGTAAGTGATACCTGTTACTAATAAAATTGCCACAGAGCTAGCTTCCAAGACTTTTGGTTACACCAATGATAAACACATTTTGCAGCTAACCTTAAGGAAAACGAAAGCACAATGAAACCTTGTCTAAGAAAGTAAAAAAAAAAAAAAAGAGAAACAGGTTGGTGTGTAACTGGTAAAACTGAACTGACCAGTTTTTCCTTCACCTCCTTCCCAAGTCTTTTATGTCTTATTGTAATGTGATTGCCAATTCTCTGACTGTGGGCTGTGGTCTCTGTTGTTGAAGAGACAGTGAGTGTCTGCCATTATTCTTTTCTCACTGGTTCTCCAGGAAACGCACTGATGCAGCAAAACAGATTGGCCAATTTAGAATGCAAATTCAACTGCGCATGGAAAATAAAGCTCAGAGAACTGGTTCCTCTACCAGAAACAGGTTGGTTTAGATTAGTTACGTTAGAAGATATTGCCATCTAGGGACTATTCAACCACAACTCTTCTACCATTTCCAGCTTGTCAAAATCAGTGTCCTGTCTCCCAGTTTCCATTATTGTTGTTTTGAACGTGGTTATTGTAAGAGCCCTGGGGTATGTTCTAGGTGGGACCGTGGGTACATTGAGCCTACATTTTCTCTCTCTCTCTCTCTCTCTCTCTCTCTCTCTCTCTCTCTCCATCTATCACCTATCGATCTACCTACCTACCTGTTTTTAATTAATTTAATTTTAAAGACATGGTCTCACCATGTAGTTCATGCTAGATGGCTTAGAATTTTCAATTTCCTCAAGCACTGGAATTATAGATGTGTACCGCATGCCTGGCTATTGACACCATATTTGATGTTATCCTAAAATGCTTACAAGCTGCTTCTGCATCTAGATTACTTCCTGGATGATCTCAACTCCCCTTGAGGAACTACAAAAACACCCAGTAGTGAGAAAAGCCCCATGATGATGCAGACAGTTTCAAGACTGGCTCTATGGGTTTGCCAGCTTCCTCTTAGTGACATTAAATACTGATGTAACTCGCTAGTTCTGAAGGAGATTTCCTTCTCAGTTACAACCCCACACCATCACAGGTCAATTTTAAGAAGCTAGGAGACACTGACTTGAAGGTTTTCTACCCAAACTTGATCTGGAATGACTTTGCTAGCATCTAAGATCATGTTGTTTGTTTGTTTGTTTTGTTTACTCAATTTAACTTAGCTACATCAGATTAATGTGAAGGCCTTGTATTTCCTAACTATGGGCAAGAGTCTTCTTGCTTCTTCCTTCTGACACGTATGAAGACAGAGACACACACGCATGGCCTGTGGCTCATCAGCCTTCTAGAAATTTGAAGGGAACCAACTTTGAAATGATACTCGTTATCCAGACATGAAAGTGTATGCCTGTGATCCTGCATCTAGGAAGAAAAGGAATGAGTTTGAGACCAGTCTGGGCTACATAGTGAGACCCTATATTAAACAAAACCTTAAAGAAGGAAGTCAGTGATCATGGGGAGAACAACAGAAAGGAAGGAATGTGTGTGGAGTCTCCTGAGATAGCTGTTTGTTATTACATTTGAAACTTTCAGCCCTGCCTGTAGTCACCCTACTACTTAGGATGTAGTCACTCTACTACTTAGGATGCTGACATGGGAAGGTCACAGGTCAAGTGTTTTCTAGGTTATGGCTTAGACTAACTGATAAACCACAGGTTATTGAAGCCCTGGATTTTTTATTTTAATATTTTTCTCTCCCCTTAGATAATACCTGTTGGTCTGTCTTCGGGCACACTGATTATTTCATATGCTGTGCTCATCGTGGCTCCTGACATCACACTGGGTGTCACAACTTTGGGCATTGTAGTCTTCAGTTCCCAGGATTTCTTCCTTCTTCATTTTATAAGATAGGTATTCATTTAGCCCAGACTGACTTCCAACTCTTTTCCCAGACTAGGACAACCATGAACTCCTTAATCCTCCTCCCTCTACTTCCCTGAATGTTGGGACTACCTGCAGGTGTCACCATGCCCTGTTTATGAGGTGCTGGGTATAGATCCTATGCACACTAAGTAAGTACTCTCAACTGAGCTACGTATGCACCAGGCATATTTTTTTAAGCTTCCACATCTCTTGAGAAATTTTATTTACCTACTGCATGCTATATGTATTTTCCCATAACTTCTTAAACATACTTAACATAGCCACTAAGTCTGTTCATTCTAATGGTTGGGCTATCTAGGAGTCTGTTTATTGGCCACTTTTTTTTTTCTACTATGAGTTACATTTTCCTGCTTTTTTAGATAACTAGTAATTTTTAAAATTTTTGTAGACTGAAATTTTAGGGTAATAAGTTAAAGACATTTTAGATGTTCCTCAGAAAAGCTGACTTTTACTTCAGCAAGAAGTCTTGGGGGAGGGGGAGGGAAATGGGAGGCGGTGGCGGGGAAGAGACAGAAATCTCTTAATAAATAAATAAATTTAAAGAAAAAGAAGTCAGATTGCTGCCACAGAGTATTCTGATCATATGAAACACCAGCATCTTATAGAACTTCCGATACAATGTGGCACTACCCTCTGTGTGTGGTTAGGAGCATTTGAAACATGTCAAATGTGACTAAGGAGCTACAGTTAGTGTTTTATTTAATCACATATAAAGGCTACATTGCCTAGAACTGTGTGGAATAATGCAGCCAGGAAGATTTTGTTTGGGGCTTTGTGGGGGAAGGGACTCTATTTAGGATTCGCCTAATTGTTTAGCCCCACCCATCATCACAGTGATGGGCCACCGTGACCTGGTGAGCCACACTCTAGGTGCCACCTGTCCAACACCAGACCCCATCCAGACTTGCAGGCGCTGTTATTTTGGGGAAAATTGGAGAGTTCCCCTCTAATGTTTCCTTTTTGTGAGATTTTCCCCTTCCTCCAACTCCAATCTCTGGCTCCTAGGCTCAGTCAGACTGCCAGTTGTTGCCCTCAATGACATCTCTCTGCCCTGAGAAGCGAACAGAGCTGCCGAAGCCTACATCACAGGAAGCTTACTTCACCCATTCCCTTCGCAGGGCCCGTGTTCCTCCAGCAGTCTGCAGAACCAAACTATGGCAGTTCTTTTTCAGGACCTTGTAACATCCTCTGCTGTCATTATTCTGTTGTCCATCCAGAACGTAGCATTGTCCTTGGCAGGAGGGTTAGTCGGAATTGAGGGCCAGTGAGAAGGCTCAGCAGGTGAGGTGTCTGCTGCCAACCCTGATGACCTGAGTTCAATCCCTGCCGGAGGAGAGGAGGAGAGAATAAATTTCCCCCATGTTGCTTTCTGACCTCACATGTACACCTTGGTAAGAGAGCCCACACTCGAATGAATGAATGAATGACCGAATGAATGACCGAAAGAATGAACAAATTAGCAAGGGGAACAACCCTCTTCATGTAGAAGCTGGAACTGATAAGAGTGAACAAAATTGGGCACTACAATGTGAAGTTTACTTGGACTAGTTACCCATCTTTTTCCCAACCATGCTCTCTCACGTGTCTCTGCAATAAATAGAACAGCTCTTTCCAGGAACTATTTATTGAAGGAATAGTTGAAGCCAAAACCTTGCTTGAGGACTCATTCCTTTAACTATTCTGTCGGTTTAGTTCCGTTTCTTGTTTGTTTTGTTGTCCCCCATTCTAGTGACTGAACCCTTGAGCTCTCTCTAGTCCTGTTTGCTCCTTATTTGGGGACAGGGTTTACTCAGCTTCCTAGGCTCACCATGACTTTACCCCATAGGCCAGCATTCCTTTCATATAACACGCCAGCTTCAGCTTCCGAGTCGGAGTTTCATCAGGTACATAATTTAGAGTGGACGATCCTTTCTGGGAAGTGTTATTGGATGTGGGTTAATGCAAAAGAACAGGAAGTTGTTGGGTGTGTCTGTCTTCTTGCAAGCAATAGAAAACCTGCCATGATTTTAAATAAAAACAAGATTTGTAGCTCGGCCGAGGTTCAGACTAGCGGTAGTGCCTGTTCTCCGGCAGAGCTGGGCTTGGGTGGTATTAGCAGAACGCACATTTTTATTGTGTTATCTTTACACATGAAGGGGTTTATTTTTATTTTTGAGACAAGGCCTCATTGTGCAGCCCTGACTGACTTGGAACTCTCTAAGTAAGCCAGGCTGGCCTTGAACTCACAAGTCTGTTGTTTCTTTCCTGGGAGTGCTGGGATGAAAAGCAAGCATCACTACGCATAGTTGGTGCGGAGATTTTGCTTTCATCTCCAGTTTTCAGATCTGGCTACTGCTTTGTTAGAATCAGCGCCGGCTTCCTAGGGCCCCAAGGGCACAATAGAAGCTCACATCCTCCCAGGTGCCCAAAACTGGAAACAAGGAGAGCCTCTTTCCAGAAAACATCACAGTCTCTCATAGGCTCTGTCTAGACGAATCATACAGCCATGAAATGAGATGAAATAATTGGCCGAGGCAGGGCCCAGATGTTCCACCCACATTCAGAGGAGTTCAGTTACACCCGACCCTCGGGAACTGTGGGTGAAGGGTGGTGTTTTCCTGATGAAAATTTGGCTTCTTAGTTATTAGCAAGGCTGAGGTACATTAATGCAGAAACTGCAACAGCTCCCTGAAAGGGACACGAGAGGAGGATGGAACTGAGGTACCAGGAGGGAGTTAAATGCTTACACATCAGAGCGATCCAGAGCCTAAAAAAAGAAATGCTGACTTTTCCCACTCAGTCCCAAGGCTCCGGCTGCTGGAAGCAGGTGCTGGCCTGGGCCAGTGCTTCATGGCTAGTATGCTTGGGGACCTGCAATGAGTGAAATCCATGAAATTTAGATACCGCAGCGGTATCTTTAAAAGGTATCAGGTGGAGAACGGCTTTTAATGTGGAATCCAGGCCTCCAATTAGAGGCTTGTTCCACTTGCTAAATTTGGTTTGGATTAAATGCCTACTGACCTCTTGTCCCTATAGCGTTTCATCACTGTGATGAATATGTGGGAACCCCCCCCCAACTAATGGCACACAATCTCTATACCATTAGAAGTCTGAATTCTTTCTGAGTTAAACTATACACCCTCCTCTCAGTCCCTTCCATTAGGAAGCAATCCAAGCGGGGGATGGGGAGAGAAGCCAGTGCCAAAGGTAGCAATGTCCCTAACATTCACCTGCCTGAAGTCCCCGAGGCTCCAAACCAATACATTTGGGGTGGACGAGGACACCACTTTTCTCTCCCTCTCCAGAGAAAACATAGAGGACTCCAGAGACTTCTGTCAAGTGCCCTGGGAGCCTTGCTATCCACTCAGTCCTTTTTGGCTGTGCCCAAACACCTTTCAACTAAACGGAAGAGTTTTAATAGCCCTGGACCAGACCTTTCAACTAAACGGAAGAGTTTTAATAGCCCTGGACCAGACTTCCCTTCACCAGACAGGAATGTCCGTGGCTGGATGTGGTGGTGCACGCCTGTAGCCCCAGGATTTAGTCTGAGTTACGTGGTGAGTACTAGGGCAGTCAAACTGCTCCAGAACAAGACCCTGAATTTAAAAGACAATTAGAGCTGGGTATAATGGCTCAATGCCTTTGATTCCAGCACTGGGGAGGCAGAAGCAGGTGGATCTCTAAGTTCGAGGCCAGCTTGGTCTACAGAGTGTGTTCTGGGATAGCCAGGACTACACAGAGAAACCCTGTCTCAAAAAATAGACAAAAAAAGCATAATATATTAATTAATTAAAAGCATCTCTGTCAATGCCTTTCAGTATAATAGTTTATACAAATATAAACACTCATGCACATGCATCCAAAACTTAAGGGTTAAAGGTGTCCCCTCAATATGCCCTGGATTCAGTCCCCAACAGCAAAAAGAAAAAGTTCATACCAGACCTTAAAGATTTCTTGAAAGAGCCGGGCGGTGGTAGCGCACGCCTTTAATCCCAGCACCCGGGAGGCAGAGGCAGGTGGATCTCTGGGAGTTCAAGGCCAGCCTGGTCTACAAGAGCTAGTTCCAGGAAGGCAACAAAGCTACAGAGAAACCCTATCTCAGAAAAAAAAAAAAGATTTCTTTAAAAAAGTTTTACCTTAGAAATTCCCTTGATGAAGAAGAATAACTGGGAGATTCCCAGGGGATGTTAGGCTATTCTCTCAAAATGAGCACACAGGAATGAGAAGAGAAATACTTTTCTTTTGCAATGCTGGGTACTGTGTGGGACCTGGGAAATGCTAAGCAAGCCTTCTAGTGCTGGCCTTGAAAATACATTGTAAAACACGTGTTTAAATGCAGCTTGCAAATGCCACCAGCTTCCTTTGCGTTTTAGGAATACACTTCCAGTACTCTAATTGTTGATCCATGTTTTTTGTTGTTGTTGTTGTTGTTGTTGTTTGAGGAGGAGGTTAACGAACGACCCAGCTCACTTCCCTCCCAGTTCTAGAAGGTGGTCTTTGGAGAGAACCCACTCAAGGAAGCAAACCTGTTCACTGTCTCTGCTGCCCACTGCCCCCAGAGCACCTGCCCCTGACCTCTTTCTCAGCCTTGTTTCCCGGTAACACTACTAGCCAGGTGCTGGGATCTTGGGTTTGCTGGTCAATGGCCTCAGGCAGTTCTTGTGACCCACAGTCTGGGAGCAGTATGCTTCTTTCATTATTCACGCTCTCCTGGAGGTCCAGTTACCAGCGCTGTCCACTGCCAAGGCCACATCGAAACTCGTTTAGCCGGTTTTCTCCTTTCCCTGGGCAACCACACTCAGCCTGACAAAGACCAGAGAGTTTCTGTTCCCAGGACTGAGACCCGCCCCACAACAAGCCTGTCTGTTGTTAATCTCTGAGTCTGGCTTCCTCCCCCAACTCTGCCTTCCCTCTCCACAACCCTCCTGCCTTTTCGTGAGGCTATGGACCATCAGGTTTGAATGCGGTGCTGAGTTGTTGATTAGAACAGCATGTTATTTTCTGAATGTCAAACAACATACGACAATAAGTGGGTATAAAATATCAGGAAAATAAACGTCCGTGGTGCTTCTGCGCAGGAAGCAAAGGCAAAAATGGCTGAACTTTAAAAGCTTCCATGCTTACGAGACGTCCTGGAGTATTAAAATTGATGACGGTTATTAGGTAGCTTTTCAGAGCCGCAAAATGTGTATAGCCGAATCCCCTGGGCTTAGTCGTTTTCAGCCCAGGAGTATTAACTCGGCTGGCTGTGAAGCTGCTATTGTATGCACATAGTATTTAACCACGAGTGCAGCAGGTCCCAAATTAAAACCATATTTTGTTAGCACCACATGTTCCAGCCCGGACAGCATTTATCAAAGGGGAAGCTGCTGGATTTATTGAAGGAAATGAACTTGGCTGGGGTCTGCCAGACTCAACTCCTACAGTGCGGCGCTGAGCAGGGCTGCTGCTATTGGCTTCAGGCTGCTCACTAGCTTTTGGTGGCACAGTGGGCTATGGCCACCTCCCCACAACTGGGCATCAGGGGAGGCTGACAGCTCCAGGCCCCTCTTTTCCTCAAGGACTGGTTTATATTCCCTTCTTTGTGAAGTCTTTGTTTCCTCTACCCAAGGTTCCTTCTCCTTCCTCTGAACAACTCCGATCTATATTTCAGAAGATCCCGGGGGGGGGGGGGGGG